AAAAAAAATACTGCTTTTTCCATGTTTCTGCTATTTGGTTATGAAACTGGCGGGCTGCGGCACCGGGGGTGCACACCACCGCCGATGCAGCTGTCGATGGTGTGGGTGCATTCGTGCAAGCAGTCGTGCCCCGCAAGCCCCCGCCAATGCCATGGCATGCTTGTGCCTCACAGCACCTGAACATCTTCATCTGTCCTGTCCCAGCCGTGCGCCCTGCCCTCACCCCTTCTCACACCGTCCCCAGCAAGCAACACCCGCGCAGAGCTGAAGGCTGCGGGAACATCGCGCAGACAGCCCTCTCGTTACTCTGAGCAAAATACTTCCGTGTCCAGCTACTTTGGGAAATGCTGTTTGATGCAAAGTGGTTGCAGACACAAATGCTGATCCCGGTTCTCATGCAAAATCCTAATGGGATGTCCCCGCGGAGGAGAACAATGTCGGTACTTCAGAAAAGCAGCACATGGAGCAACGCTGGGAAAATACGGCAATAACAAGTGTTTTGGACAGCTCGCGTTTTGTTATCTACAACTTAAACAAATATATTAATTTATTCAAATGTGGTATTAGCAAAGGAAGCGGGCAGTCATGATTCATCCAGGTGAGGCAGAGTATTTTTGACTATTTCTGGGATGAGGATGTTCCTGGGCAGGGTGCAGGATCAGCTGTTTACAGCCAGTTTGCTGTTGCTGCTGTTTGCAGGAGGCAGGAGGAATACTGAAGCTCATGAGCAGCAGCACAGGAAACCTTGTCCAGACATTTTTTTAAATGGCTTTAACTTAATAAAGTGGCTCAAGTGAGAAGTTCTCACACAGGAGAAGACAGCCACAGCTGTGTGAGGACGAACCAGGGGAGCCACGGTGGGATGGGTGCAGGGGGGTTCCCAGGGGTGTTTTGGCTCTCAGCACACCCCCACATCCCACCGGCCTTATATCCTCACCAGGCAAACACTGCTAAATACTCAGGACGTCATTCCCCCAGAGACAGGGCTAGAAAAGCCCAGCCCTGCCCAGGGATGTGCACAGGACAGCACAGCCGAGCAGCCGCCACAGGGCACGTGTGGGGCTGTGGATCCACAGCAAGGGGTGCACCGAGTGCTCAGTTTTCAGGCATGGATACAGCTGAGGCTGAACGAGAGGAAACATCCTCATTACTGTCTTGGATCCTTAACATTTAATGTAGCTTCCCCACTCCCGCCTGGGTAAGATCACTCCTGTTTACCTTCATCAAATGCCAAATACAGTTTCCCTGCATCCCGAATGGGAGATGTCTGCAGGATCGCCGGCACTGGCGTGCTGCACTAACTCCAGATGAATATTGACTTTTTAATGACAAGCGCTCTAGTACAAATACCAGCCGCGGCGATGCGGGCCCGGGCAGACAGCTGAAGGGGGCTGGCATGCCTGTTATTCAGCAAATGAATTATTTGATTCCCCTTCCCTGCAGCATGCTGTCTGCTAGGAAATTTTCATTTGGTCTCTCTAACTCGAGAACCAATTGTAAATGTCAGCGCTAAACACTCAGATTTAAGTGTTAGGTTGTCTTGTTTGATTACGGCACTAAAAGGTCAGAGCTGACTAATGGAAAGTACAAGCGGTATCGGGAGGGAAACAGTGTTCTGCCGTGGGTGAGCAAACACCTGGGGACAACCTAATCACTCTTCCTGCAGCATCTCTCTCCCCTCTCTGGCTCCTTCATTCAGGGCTGTTTTCCAGGTCTTATGACCTGGAATAGCCATTTCTGGGGAAAATTCTCACTTGTGACATTGCTGCCAGGGATGCTGGCAGCGCCAGGTTTTCCCACAGAGGAAAGGGAGAGCTCACCTCGCCATGGCTGGATTTAGTCCCAAAGGGCAAGGGACGGCACAACAGCCGGGCTGCTGCCAACCCCACTGCCATCACCCACTTCTCTCCGCACATGGCTCTGGCTAGCAACAAAGTGTTTTGGATGTCAAGGTCTCTGCACCTCCATTTCCATCCTCATTTGGCCCCCCTCTAGCAACCAGCACCCCAAGAGCTCCACGTAGAGAGCAAATCACAACTTTTTTTCCTCCTCCATTCCCATTTGCCATCCTTTTCCCAACCCTCACAGCACCTTTAAAACCCCCTCCCCCTGAGCTGTTTCTGTCATGGTGGCCAAATAAAACTACAGTTGCTACAGTGACTCATCTGAGGAAATCTGCTTTTTATCTGAGCCCATTACCATCATTCCAGTTCTATAAGCTGAGTTCATTATTTTAAAGCTGCTTTCAAAAATATTAGTCTTTCTGCCATAAAAGTGCCTGGCAAAATAAAATTCCAATGAGCTGTTATTCCTCCCTGGGGAATAGCGTGGTGTGGTCCCAAGCAGGAACACTCATCCCTCCACACAGATGCCTTCCTGCACAGGGAATGTGTCCCCACTGTCAACCCCAAAACCTCCCCTGGGCAGAGAAATTCAGTGCTGATTCTGGATTTCTGAATGTTTCTGGACATTTACATCAGTAAGAACTGGGAATTTTAGGAAAACTAGGAGTCTTGGGAAATAATTGCAGTGTTTTTTCCCCAAGACTTCGGGGTCCATGATGAGCACCACCCTTGATTCTTTGGCATCAGCCTGGAAAATAACCACTGTCCAGGGGATGCTCATACCACCTCTCTGGATATCCTCCCAGGAATCAAAGATCCTGCTGGACTTAGGGAGAGATCTGCAGCTGCCACAGGCTCCTCTGGGGGAGGCAGTTTCTGTCCTCTCTTTCTGGGTGGTTTATGTAACAAGGTCCCCACATCACTCAGAGAAATAAGGCAGTTATCTTATTCACAGGCCCCTCTGCAAGAGCATCATCAGGCAAAGGGTCCCATTAAGCAGAAGTTGGTGCCAAAAGGGTGTAAGAGGATGAGAAACCACCATAAAATACAGTATCAAATGCAAAGAAATCAAAGAAAAGAAATAGCCATCTCCAAACTGAGCGGTTTCTTTCATAGCCCTGTCACAGAGTGGGACAGTCTGCCTGAGCTGCGCTGGTAAAGTCAAGGCGGTTTGTGGTCTGTAAGATTAATAGGAAATCTCCTCTGGATTGGGAGTGATTCCCTCTTTTATTGGAATGAACCCCAAAGAGTAATGGCTGTAGGGCAGGAAGAGGAAGGTAAATTGCAGTAATAATGTGTTTCCTTGTGCAGACATGCTTTTGATCATAGAAAAATACACCATCTGTTTCTAAATTACTTGTTGTATTGATTTAACAGTTAGTAATGTGGGGAAATTTTTTTTTTCCTTTTTTTTCTTTTGCAAATCCATTTTGCAAGGGCTCCTGGAAATCTGACAGTTATGTGCAATAAAAAGTACAGGCTTGTTTATCATAAAAGATTACTGCTGCCAGCCACGGGGCTCTGCGCGGGGAGGAACAAGCTGTACCCACAGGGGCTCCTCGAGCCCCCTCCTCTCCAGCACCCCCTCCTGCCAAGAGCTAAGCACCTGAGTGCTGATGTGCCCCAGAACTATTTCTTTACACCAAACAAGCTGTTCCTGTGCTTTTTCCCCGCTCAAGCCGCATGCACCCCACTGCCCTTGTTGCTTCACATTTTTACTGCTTTCCTTCAATTTTTTGCAGCTTAGGGTTGCTTCTCCTTCTGCACCCCAAAGGCTGTAACAGCATCTGGGTTTGGGCACCTGGGAGCTGTTCTGCACGTGGCAAACCACATTTCCCCCCCCAAAATGCCTCTCCCAGGACATACACCTTTGCAAGGGCAGCTTCTCCCCAACCCCTGTGGCTGCACCCACCCTCATCAGCCAGGGACCAGCTCATCTTCATGAGGCAAACCATTAAGTTCCCAGTATTGCATCGAGATTTGCTGTAACCAGAGCAGGATCCCTGCAGCTCTTGGCCTCCTCACCTGCAAGTGCCAGCTCTGCTTAATAAGCACTCAAGGAGCAGCACTCTACAGCCATGGCCGATCTGGGGACATGGGGATTTCCTCTCAAACACGGCTCCACTCAGCCCAGACAGCGATGCTGCCAGCACACCCCACCACTCTGATCAGGGGATGACTCCCTACAGCACAACAGGATGCACAACTTTGTAAAATAACACTTCTCACTAAGCCATGCCAACAGCTCCCGGCACCAGCACTGCATGTTCCCGAGGAGATGAGGGGACCGTTGGGTGTCTGGCAGCTCTCGCCAAGCCCTCAAGGACCAGTGTCCACACACAGCCCTGGTGCTTCGCATCAGGCATCTGTGAGGACTGGTTGCATCAGCAGAGCATGGAGAGCTGTCAGCTCCGGGAGGTTTTCTGAGAGAACTTGGCCATTTCTGGGCATCCTCTAACTCACCTGCAGCAGCTGCCGCCACAGCACGGCTCCTCACTTTTTGGGGACAGAATAGGTTTTTCAGTGCCAAGCCCCACATTAAGAGGGATGCACCTTGGTAAGAGGGATGCAGATTGGGTAACAGTGGCCAAAGTTAATCCAGGAAGCATTTGTAAATACTGGCTGTGCTGCATGTGTGCTGGGAGCCCACAGAAACCATAACCATGCCACAAGGGCTGCATTTTCTGCCTGACTTTTACAGCAAGAGCGCCATGTGAAGGGATCAACATTCATAGCCTTTGCTGCCACTCAGCCAAGCAGCTACTTTAACTGGAAAAAATATAACAATCAAAACATACAACTTTTTTTGAGTTTGGAAGCAATACCTACCCTCCACTGAGCATGCTGAAGCATGAAGTGCAGGGTATTCAAACCCACCTGGTATCCTCAAAGCTGGCGCAGGTATCACTGTGTCCCTCTCTGCCATGCCCAGCACAGCGTTAGGCGCTTTAAAAGACCTTTTATCCCATCCAAACACTCCCGCCAGGGTCCCCAGCACTCCCAGACCAATACCACCAGCTCACAGCAACGTCCCACACCGTCCAAACAAAACCTTTCCTTTCCCTGGTAGAAAACACCGAGGCACAGCCCAGGTATCACCCACAGATTTTCTACTTCTCCAAGCAAAACCAGAAGAGAGACCTTGGCTCCCACTGGTTGTGATCTGCAATATTTATTTGACAAAAAAAAAGGCATTTTAATGGTTCTTTTGGTTCATAAAAGTTATAAGTTGTTTCCCAGCAGCCACCTGACAAACCTCCCCCCTAAACTGAGAAATAAAGTGATCCAGAAGTTAGCAAAATAAAATGAATCATCCAACTCTGACAAGGAAAAGTGGTTCCTATCATTTGGTACAATATGGAAAAATTTGGCAAGTCTCGCTGATCTGCAGTTCCTATCTCTCAAGCACTACAGAAGTGGCTTCGGTCTCCAGCCCTCAGGTTGTCTGTCCAGGGGACAGACACATGTCCTTGTGCTGCAGGACCTGGGGACTCTCCGGGCAGTCCAAGCCTGACAGGTGAGAGCTGCTGTGTCAGCATCTTTAGCAGGGCGGTATAAATATAAAACATCGATACAAACAGGTTCTTTGTACAGAAAATATCATCTCACAAGGCACTGGGGTGACGACCGCGCGGCCACTCACGGTGGGCTCCGACCGGGCTTCTCCAGTCACTGCTGGGCATCAGAGTGGGGGAAGGACGGGAAAAGGGACCGGAGAGGTCCCAGTGCTGCCATCCAAGAGGGATTTCACCCCACCGCTGCCCCTAGACACCCCGGGAGTGGTTTTTCCCAGCCAGATGGCGCTTTTCCTTGGCAGGGATGACACGACCCTGCGAGGGCTCCGGTTCCCTTGGGAGGACTTGAGGCTGGGTTTGGCCGGGAGGGGGGTGCATAGATCGGCGGGGGGCTGGGGCTGCTCTGCCCGGTGCTCTGCTCCCTCTTCACGCCAACAGCCCCAGCCGGGTCACCTTGGCTGAGAGGAAGGAGTGGATGATGAAGACGATGGTTTTGGGGCAGGAGTGAAGGTCCAATTGCTGCAAGAAAGGAACAGAGGAATGTTTGCAATGGGGAGGGCTGTTCCTGGAGCAGACAACTTTCTGCTTGCAGTGGGGAGGGCAGGGACCACCCAGGGCCCCCCAAACCCCACCACAGCCTTACTGGGGCCCTGGGAGAGGCGTGCGGGCAGGGGTGGGTGGATGGGCCACGTCTCAGCCCCACGGGCCAGGCAGGATGGGTGCTGTGCGCAGGGTGGGTGCTCTGCTTCCCCCCTCCCCTCCCTGGTGCCGGTGGGAGTTTGGACGGGTGGGGGGTGGTAAGGATAAAGCCAACTCACAATCTCTCCCTCCGGGCCACCAAAGTCCAGGTAGAGCATCTTGGTGCCGTCATCAGAGGACATCTGCAGCTTCTCGAAGGGCTGCTGGAGCAGGATGGTCTTGCTGAGCCCGGGCTCGGTGGTGGAGATGGTGAAGCCCTTGTCGATGTGGACGGAGAGGGTGCAATCCTGCCCCTTCCACGAGCAGGCTGGGGACGGGGACAGGGGTAAGAAGGTGGCCGCCCCCCCCCCACCCCCCGCG